CAACCAACAGTCGATTTACCTGAAGGAAGAGGAACAAGCTCCCAAGTACCACTCGTATGTAAAGCAGACATCTCGTCAATCATAGCCTGTCGCCATCCGGGATGAGACAGTGCTTCACATGTAGACTTAGGAATGGAAACAGAGGACAAACATGACACAAATGCACAATGGGATGATGAGAGACGATGGTAACTTAAACCGATATAATGAGGATTAGGATTAACTGTGGACCGTATACCTTTTCGTAGTGCAATCGGTTGATTAAGAGGAGACAAGTCCGCAGTATTAGCAGGGTCAGGTGCAGGACGTGAATCAGCTGGGCCTGATGCTGGGGGCGGACGACGATGATAAGTCAGGAGTGGTGGAGTTGTAGAAGGTTGAACTCGACTAGGTGGTGGCACTGGAGCTATAGTTGGTGGAACTGGACTAGGTGGTGGCACTGGAGCTATAGTTGGTGGAACTGGACTAGGTGGTGGCACTGGACTCGGTGGTGATACTGGAGCTATAGGTGGTGGAGCTGTAACTGGAACTGTAGGCGGTGGAGCTATAGAGGAAGATGAATGGGAGATAGGGACTGAATCTCCAAAAGAAGGAACAGGTAGCACCTCAGAAATATCTAAGTGATTAACTGGACCTGTGAAGTATGATTGGGTTTCAAAGAAGGTAACATCAGCAGACATAAGAAATCGCTGAAGGTCAGAAGAATAACATCGATATCCCTTTTGCGTTCTCGAGTAACCCAGAAATATGCACTTAAGTGCACGAGGAGCTAACTTATCTTTTCCTGGAGTAAGGTCATGAACAAAGCACGTACTCCCAAAGACACGGGTGGAAGAGAGAACAAAGGTAAGTGGGGAAACAGGACAGAGAATGGAACTTGATTTTGGATAGCTGAAGATGGCATACGATTAATAAGATAACAAGATGTAAGAACTGCATCCCCCCAAAAACGCAGCGGAACATGAGATTGTATGAGTAGGGTACGAGCAGTTTCAATAAGATGTCTATTATTTCTTTCAGCTACCCCATTTTGTTGGGATGTGTACGGACAAGATGTTTGATGAATAATCCCATGGGAGTTCATAAATTGCTGAAACGGGGAAGACAAATACTCTAGGGCATTATCACTACGAAATGTGCGGATAGAAACCCCAAATTGATTTTGAATTTCAGCATGGAAGGTCTGGAAAATAGAAAACGACTCAGATCGATTTTTCATCAAAAATATCCAAGTGCACTTGGAATAATCATCAATGAAACTGACAAAGTAGCAGAATCCTAAGGTAGAGCTAACCCGACTAGGACCCCAAACATCTAAATGGACTAAAGTAAAAGGTGACTCTGCTCAATTGTCAAGACGCTGCGGGAAATGAGAGCGGGTATGCTTACCGAGCTGACACGACTCACACTCTAGAGTGGACAAGTGAGATAAGCCAGATACCATTTTCTGAAGTTTTGACAAACTAGGATGTCCTAACTGTTTATGTAATAAATCTGGTGAATCAGCAACGGGAGAAGTTATTGGAGGAATACAAGATGTGAGTCCATGTGATTTTGCAAGGATAAGGTAATAAAGTCCATCTGATTCACGTCCGGTACCAATGATACGCCCTGTACTGCGTTCCTGTATAAAAACAAGGTCATCAAGAAATAAAACAGCAGATTTAAGTGATTTGGCTAAGCGACTGACGGCTATGAGATTAAAAGGACTACCAGGAACATAAAGAACTGAGTCTAAAGGTAAGGAAGGAAGTGGACTTGCTTGACCTATTGCAGTTGCCATGGCTTGAGACCCATTGGCCATTGTGACTGTTGGAAGAGATTGAGAATATAAAATACTAGTGAAAAGAGATTTGTTACCAGAAATATGATCATATGCACCTGAATCAATGACCCAAGACTCAGAAGGTGAAGATTGGGAGACACCAGTCATGCTACTATTTGTTGGAACAGCGGAGGTTAATCCTGAAGATGTCTGTTTACATGCTTTGTACTGAAGGAACTCAATATAATCCGATAAAGAAACCATCTGGATTGGATTTATTGCATTTAATCCAACGGATTGTGAGTTAAAGGCTTCCTATACGAATTTCATTATAATATCGTGCCGGAAAAAAGCAGAAATTTTCTGGGATCATTGTAGCAGCCGAAAAAATAACTGTAGCTGCCGAAAAACGTTGAAAGTGATCGTGATCTGATGTAAACTTGATGGGTAGGCTCGGAATAATGTCCTGAGAAGACTGTCCAAAAGGAGTTTCGTCGGAAACTAACCGGAAGAAGGTTAACGTGTCGGCGCGTGAGCTCACGCGCGTGAGCGTTTGGTGGCGCGTGGGGGCGCGTGACACTGCTGTTGCCGGAGATTTTTCTGGGGTTTGGTCGCCTGGCAGTGGCGAGTCTTTTGGTAGTGCTGGATTTTGCACAACACTAACCGAGACAAAGCAGACGCAAAACAACTTTGAAAAGTCGCCGGAAAAAAGGGTTCCGATGACTGATTTCACTTCCCGGAATCGCTGGAATTTATGCACAGCGATAAATCTCTCACGATAGCTCTGCTACCATGTGAGGAAGCACGGGAGAAAATATATTATTGAATAATTATGACAATGATACACTGAGCCCTATATATATATACAATACATGTCCTACTCCTAATACATATGGGATTATTATATACTACTATTTATACAATGAAACTAACAAGCATCAACAAGAACACATTTATAATTCCTGTAAATCAACCAAGCAAAGTAATTAGGTATATGTCTATCCCAACCGCGAATTCGTCACCTGATACCCAGGTTCAAGAACTTTCTCTACTCAATCCTATATGCAATCTAGAATTTCCACTTCCGAGTTCAACTCTAGATTCGTAGGTAGTATTCAATTGATGATCAAGCAATTAAATAATTAAGCATAGGCTTGAATAAATAAACTAATATGATAAATCAAGAAGGCAAAATCAATGTCCGAATAACAATAGTCATGAAAGAACCACAACCCTAGAACGTGAAGTTTTAGCTCCACATAGACATGGTAGCAAAACAACAAATCATACAAAGAAACATAATAAATACTAAGTTTGGTGAAAGAAAAGATAAAACGCGGCCTCCACGGCGGTTCCTTGCTCTCCCTAGATCGAATTTTTGTCCAAAAGTGTGTTTATGACCTAAAAGGAGCGTTTTGGGCCTATATATTGCTTACAAAAGTCGTGGGCCAAAGTTTTCCTTTTCCTAATCCAACTCATCTTCAGGGATTGATGCTGGGGTGGATGCTTCGCATCCACCTCAGCTTCCACTTCTTCAGCTTCGCATTCTAGGGTGGATGCTTCGCATCCACCCTTTGTTCATCCATCTCTGATGTGCCCAGGTGTAGATGCTGAGGCAGATGCTATGGCCCGACTTCACTGCTAAGGGTGCACCAACTAGCCTTCTTTCCAAAGGGTGGTTAAACGCACAACGGCGCCAAAACCTTGTTGCGGCCAAACGCACACGCAAGTGTACGCGGCCGTTAAGTAATAAAGTGACTAAAAGTCAGATGTCGAACCCACGAAAACTTATGGTTAACTATTAACTAAATTAGACTATCCTAGTTATCTAAATTAGAATTAAACCTAGAAATGTTTGATTCTAAACTACTTAAATAAAGAAATATAAATAATGAACTTTGAACAGAGAAATAGCAGATTTTTATGATATCAATATAATGAAAACGATCTAGGGTGTGGGCTATCTAACAAACCTATTGTATTATTCAATTGGACCGACTAATTTATCTAGCTTATTGGTTGACATGGTTAATGTTGCTCATGAGAATCTGTCGAGTTCTTACTCGCCTATTCAAGCTAACCTAACGCATATATGTCTATGGAGTTAGCATAAACAAGAACGCATTTATAATTCCTGTAAACCAACCAAGTAAGGCAATTAGGTATATGTCTATCCTAACCGCGAATCCATCTCCCGATGCCCAGGTTCAAGAATTTGCTCTACTCAATCCTATATGCAATCTAAATTCCTACTTTCGAGTTCAATTCTAGATTCGTAGATAGTATTCAATTGATGATCAAGCAATTAAATTATTTTGCGCATGATTGAATAACTAAACTAATATGATAAATCAAAAACGCAAAATCAATGTCCGAATAACAATGTCATGAAAGAACCACAACCCTAGAACGTGAAGTTTTAGCTCCACATAGACATGTTAGCAAAACAACAAATCATATAAAGAAGCATAACAAATACTAAGTTTGGTGGAAGAAAAGATGAAACTCGGCCTCCACAGCGACTCATTGCTCTCCTATGTCGAATTTCTGTCCAAAAGTGTGTTATATGACCTTAAAAGAGCGTTTTTGGCCTATATATTGCGTAAAAAAGTCGTGGGCCAAAGTTTTCCTTTTCCTAATCCGACTCAGCTTCCACTTCTTCAGCTTTGCATGCTAGGGTGGATGAGCATCCACCCTTTGTTCCTCCACCTGTTGTCCCAGGTGCGGATGCTAAGGCGGATTCTATGGCCCGACTTCACTACTGAGGGTGCACCAACTAGCCTTTCTATCCAAGGTTGGATGCGACGCATCCACCCTCCTCTCCTCTAGTTGGAGCATCTCTTCTTCATATTTTTGCACTCCAAACACCCTAAATCATCACACATAACTTAATTAGTCACAAAACTAGTAATTAACACATATTTGGCATTTTTAACACCAAATAACACCAAAAAGCAGTTAAAACATGGATAAAGTAACATCAAAACATATAGAAATATGCCCAACATCAAGTTCTTATAACAAAAAGGGAAAAAAAATTAATTTTTATACGCTAACAATATGAGAATTTTATATATACGTAACCATCTGTTACTTACATGTGATGTTAATATTAGAATCCCTAAAGTTCAAATTTTGGCTCCGCCAAAGTTTATGGAATGGTATGCAAAATTCGGCATCTCAATTGAGAGAATAAAAGTATACGACAAGCGAGAAACATAACGAAGGGAATATAAAATGGTCAGGGGAATATAGAATGGTCAACTCATATTTCACACAAAGTCAACCTCTGTCACAAATAACTTCATGATAGGATCTTGCTGACATTCGACCCTTTTAGAGAAGAAATTATGTCGCTAATTAGAAGCTAAACATTCTTAATCGGAATAACATTTTCTTGGAAGGAATTTTCTTGATGTTAACAAAGACCAAATTAAGATGTCCTGAAAGTTTATTTAGTCCCACATAAAGGCTAGCGTTTGCTGACAGCCACCACTTGTAGATGATCCATCTGGTCCATTTTGTAACATATCATGGAAATGCAGAGAGCTGTTGTTGCTAACATGTGAATCTGCAGCAGAATCTTGAGGTTGGCTATTGAAATCTTGAGCAAAAGGGTACTGGCTTAGACCACCATAGTGCAGGCTATGAACGACGGATTGTGACTGGGACCGGGGGATAGAGGCAGGCTGCTGCACCATGTGACTAAAACCAATCTCCCTAGTTACAGCGGGTGCTGATGACAGAAGAGAGAGAGCACGATCAGAGTCCACAATTTCGTTCAATCCACTGGAGAAGATCTTTTGTCCGCTGTTAGGAACTGCTGCTGCTGCAGAATTGGGATGATCAACAAGTGGCTGGCAGATTGAAGCTTCAGGGAGACTACGGTCACTGCCTTGCATGAACTGGAATTGATTTCCTCCTTTGTAGCTACGAGCTGAAGTATCAGGGAACGAGTTTTGATTGTCCATGCAATTTATATGCGATTGGTTGTTGTATAATACCATGTTGTTGTCCGTTTTGACTACGCCAGCCCATGCAGCTGCACTTGGAAAGATTTGTTGACTGCTAAATGACAGAAGTTTCGTCCCTACAAATAAATCAGTTGAGTTTTCTTTGAATCAACATAAAAAACTAAGGGTATGTAAAAGTAAAGGAAGCCAATTTCTAGAATAAGGTGGGAAAAAGCACTCATGTTTCCTTTTGTTTAGAAAAGCATTCTGATTATTAAGGAATGACACTAACCTTGCTGGCCAGTAAAAAGTAATCCAGAAGTTTTGGCCATAGAATCAGGCTGAGGTTTCCTTCGACGCCTGTTATGTCCATCCAAACGTTTCCGGCAGCTTCTCTTTCCATCATCAAACTCTACCAAGGAATGAAACCTACAAAAGGAACCATCAGATTGAGATAAACGCTGCAACATAAATCAATTCCAATCATAAATTTTATCAGGGATGGGACAAATGTATAGAGAACCTTATAGTCAGAGCTTCAACTTTCTAAGTTACTATCTGAATCTGAAAAATAAACAAGCAGAGAATCAACTTGGACAGGACTCAATAGCAACTTCTATTCTATATTGCTGGTAAAAATCTCTGACTTGTCAAACACCGGTAATCCTCTTAAGCCTCTCGAGTTACCGTCTTCCTAACTATGTGGCGTACTAAGGGTCAAGAACACAATTCTAACTGTGGAAAAAAGAACATTATCATTCTATCAAGACACAAATAAACAGACTTAATTCTTCTAATTTATGTGTCGTCCAGGGATTGAACATTTTCAGCCCTAATGCATTCAAACCTGGGCTTGTTATTAATAGTGATTCCTTGTTTGAATGCATTAAACTTGTGAATTGTTTGTTGTTGTCATTTGACCAGAAGGTCACGGGTTCAAGCCGTGGAAGCGGGAGCTTAGGGCACCGGGTCCGAATGCCCATCTTAACTTGTGAGTATGTTTAAATAAAGGCATTACCTGCTGCATTGTTGACAGAAGCGTTGGTCTCGACCCCCAATGGTGACTTTGGCAGTCTTTGAATGGACCTCACAAACTTTATGGCGGCGGTGATACTCTCTGCATTGGCTGAGGTCTGCATTACATCCATCAACCAAGCAATGAGCTACTTGAGCAATATTGCCAGGTGCTTTTGCCCTCTTAGATGATCCAGACGAGGATGATGATTCCATCGATCACACAAAAGACTTCAAATATCTACCCCACACTCTAAATTGCAAAGTTACAAAGTGTATTTATCTTGTCCCTAACGCCAAGAATCAAAACCTCCTTTTCATGTTCATCCCCACCTACTTCAACATCACCCAACATTAATACTATAATCCAATTTATTTTCATACATACACAGCGAACTAATATAAAAAGGAGTAATATATATCTAGTCAGGAAGTTGGGGAAGCTAAATCTTTTCTGATAAAACAAAAGAAGAATCCACAGCAAAAAGGAACTTAGCTTGAAGATAAAATTCTCAACCACAATACGTGTCAAAACAGGGACTACGAGAATCTTGAAAAGCTATTTCAGCTGTAAATTAAGCACACCCTTAACCAATAATGTAGTCACAGATATGATCGAAAAAACTTTTACTTTTTATAAATAATAATTTAAGCACTGTCGGCTTGAGTCTAATGATTGAATTTAAAGTAGCTTATCTGCTGGACTGGACTGGACCAACCAAAATCCGAAAAGGGAAAAGAATTTTGCCAAATAAACTGAAAAGCAAAATCCAATAATTCACTAGGCTAAAAGAGAAGGATAGCAAAATGATTTATCTAAAATGTTTCCACTTAATTAGAGTTCCCAAGTTCAAATCTAAAGTAACGATTTTAAAGGGGAAAATATACTTAACTGTAAGTTTCAAAATATGCAAAGTCTGATACTGAAGAGGAGAACCACAGTAGGAAGACAAAGATTAAATATCACAGTTTCCTTGTCTTTTGGTCTGAATTTATAGTTGGATTGCTACTACAAGAAGGAAGCAGAAAATGTAGCCGTATCAAGATATGAAAATTTTCAAGAAAGAAAAAGAAAACGACGACAGTGTTGGTTTGGGGGAGTGATATGTAGTTAAAAATGAAACCAAGATAAAGACATCAAATTTGGAGCAAGAATCAATCCTTTATTTCTAATTGAGCATAGCAGTGAAGGAGAGATGTAAAAAGTAGAAGACTGACTTGGTCTTTACAGCCATTCATTCACTGACAAACAAGAGTACTCCATCGTAGACCAGTAAAGTAGCAACTGGCAAAAAAGATATATGTATGTAAAAATAGTGTCTTGTGACTTGTTATTACTGAGAAAGAAAGCAAAGTCTGGCAACTGGGGTTTGATTTCTAGGGCTTTAAAAAGGGGACTTACTACTATAGTATAGGCCCTATACTATAGGGTAATGGATAAACATTTATTTATTAGAAGAATGAATTACTGGTATTAAAGGAGTAGGTAAAGAAGGAATTGTGCAAAAAGAAATATTGCATCGTCTCTCTCTCCTACCTTTATAGGGTAATAGCCAATAGGCATAGCCTTACCTTACTATAAGTGTTTCAAGAAATGCTTATAAATAATTAAACAAGTCAAAGTTGAAACAAAGACCCATAAACGAGTGGCTAAAGAAAGGGACAAGGGGTGCTTGTAGCTTTCAACTTTTTATTATTGTCTGTGTTTTTTTCGTGTGATAATTGAGAATGAGAGATAGAAGCGAAAAACAAAGAAAAAGTAATGTATGGGTCGAAATCTGACCGAAGGAATTTTGTTCAAAAGTAGATTACTAAGAGCTGAATAGGCCGAGGTCGTACTCGAGATAGAAGGAACTCCTTGGCGAGCCGAGTAATCCGGGTCGAGGTCGGAGACTCAGGTCGGCCATAACGGCTAGTTTCTAGCAAGATATTTCAGGAGAATATTCCATTGAATATTCTCTGCACTTGTACTTCATGTTAGGTAAGGAATATGTACCATATAAAGGAAAAGGCAGAAAGAAGAAGGGAATGTAATATTTTATATGATAAGATCTCTCGTGAAAAGTTGACTCTCAAGAAAAATTATAAATATTGTCTTTCCACAAAGATTCGATTGGTTGTTAATCTCACACTTTCTCGCATCAGATCCGAGAAAGCTCCCTATATTCCCACGTTTGTTTGTCTTACATCATTATCAGAGAGAAGAATCATCCACCTCATTCAATATTTGGGTGAATCATTCTCTCTATTTACATTTATTGTCATTTAATATATTTATTGTTTATCATTGTTCCCCCACACACTCATAACAGTACCATTTAATACACGTTGCATTAAATTGGTTTAAATACAGTTCTACCTTATTTGTATAAATCGATTTTAGATCTAGGATTTATTATGCTTAACTAGGATTTACTCATTATCTTCTTATTTAATTGGTTTAACAAAAAGGCTTGATACTTTTTGGTCAAACAATTTAGCGCCATCTGTGGAGATTTTCTAGTTAAAATTTTAGTCTCTTCTAGATCAAAAAAAAAACCTTTGCAAAAACCCTATATTTCCTTGTGTGCACAAATCTAACATGGCAGGCAACGGAGAGGAAATGAGGAAGGCGATAGCCGACCTCACCACCAACCTCCTCCACACTATCAACGAAGTGGATGAAACGGAGGGCGAAGATATAACACCAAATACCTCTCACAGGCGAAACGGCTCGCCCCCACCTTACGGTAGCATCACGACCTCGCACGGTAAAGGGGCCTCTACATCCATAACAGAAGAGGCACCACCGGCAGTGAAAAAGCTACTCGAGGTGTGGTTGACCAACACGCTAACCGGATTCCTCGACAAGCCTGCTCAAAGGCCGAGCAGAGAAGAGGCAAGGGTCAGCATTGCACCGGCATCTGACGAGCAGCACGCCCCCTGCAACAGGTATTACTCATAATGCTAATGATGCTGGTAATGACACCCTCGCAGCCATTTTGAAAAAGATAGAGGAAATGGAGAACGAGAACAAAATGCTCCGGAACCAAATGAAAGAGCACTAAGAAAGGGTAGACAAAATACCGGGTGCCCCAAAACTTCTACCAAAAAGGGACGCCGGTCGGTTTGTTGAGCAGCCATAGAGCGACGAAGTTGCACCGCACGCCATACCTAAGACCTTCAAAATGCCGCCGTACCTGAAAATATACGACGGCACAACGGACCCTGAAGATCATGTGACTCATTACGTCACCGCAATAAAAGGCAATGATCTCGCCAAATAGCAAGTATCCTCCATCTTACTGAAGAAGTTCGGCGAAACCCTCACCAGTGGTGCATTGACTTGGTATTCACAGCTGCCCACACGCTCGATCGAAACATTCAAGAATATGGCAGATAAGTTCATAACAGCCCATGCCGGAGCAAAGAAGGTGGAGGCGAGAGTAAATGAAATATTTGCCATAAAACAGTCACCTAGAGAAGGACGCAGGGACTTTCTTGCTCGATTTAACCGAGTAAGGATGACCTTACCAAACGTATCGGAAGGAATGGTCATGGCGGCCTTTTAGAACGGGCTAAACAGAAGCGGTTCGAGGGTAACGAGGAAGCTGCGGAGCTGGCTCATGAAATATCCCCCAACCACTTGGGACGAGATACACAATGCTTATTGCGCCGAGGTTTGAGCTGACGAAGATGACCTAAATGGGCCGACTCAACGATTAACTTTGGTACAAGCCGAATCCAGGAAGGATCGGAGATACGATAACAAGAGAGATCTAGCAGGACCCTGACCTAACTGGGAAAGACATCAGCCTTACAGCCGAGGCACCCTCATGCTGCCTCCTCGACACGACGAAAGCTCTTTTAGGCCAAGAACAGGAACTCAACGGAATGAGAAAGGTATGCCCCCCTTATTATCTTCTCACAATTTTTATGTTTCCCCCTCAGAAATATTTTACGCACCGGAGAAGTTCGGCCCAAAAGAAAAGTGGCCATAGAAGATGAGGTCCGACCCGAGCACTAGAAAGTCAAATGCCCTCAGCAAGTTCCACCAGGAGCGAGGCCACAAAAGCGAGTATTGTATCGCCTTAAGATAAGAGGTCTTGAACATGCTTCACTAAGGGCACTTGAAAGAACTGATGAGCGACCGAGGGAGGGCCAACTTCGCCTGTGGACGTGAACAATACCAGGGACCGCCCAAACCACTTTCCCCGGTTCGAACCATTCAAATGATCATCGGAGGGGGCGACGATGCATCAATCAACAGCATCAAGTTAACCACCACCCACAAACTCAAATGGTCAATCACTCACGAACGGTATGACGAACTCGAAGAAAGTATCATCTTCGATAATTCAGATACCACGGTTTGGTTTTTCCTCACTGTGACGCTCTTGTCATTACTTTATGCATTTTTTATACCGATGTAAAACGTATTATGGTCGATGACGGGAGAAGCACGTGCATCATCCACCCCCGAGTTCTCACCCAAATGAAGCTCGAGGACAAGATAGTGACACGTTGCATCACACTAATAGGTTTTAACAATGCAGTTGAGCGGACATCCAGAGAAATCATGCTGCCCGTCCTAGCCGGCAGCGTCACTTTGGAGACCATGTTCCACGTCATGGGCCAAGATACGGCGTACAACTCCATCATAGGCCGACCTTGGATACACGCCATAAAATTCGTCCCCTCCAGCTTATATCAAGTCATCAAATTTCTCACCCCTGGGGAGTATTCAGCATCTGAGGAGAGCAACGCACTGCCCGGGAATGCTATCGCATCGCCCAAGACTGCACATACACCCAACAATTGAAAGGCAAGGCCGAGGAGGCATAGCAATTAACGAAGTCGGGGTCAGATGGTGATGAGGGGAAAGACATCATCAGAGACCCCGAGATCGCAGAAGCCACAGGGTCAATCGTAGAAGACCTCGACCCCGTCCTACTCGATGATAACGACCACAGCAAGAAAGCCTCCATCGGCCATAAACTGCAAGAACCAAGTAAATTTCGCTAGTTCTTAAAAGATAACGTAGACCTGTTTGCTTTTTCCCATGCAGACATGTCGGGCATACCAAAGAAGATAGTGACACACAAACTGAATGTCGACCCATTCCACCCCTTAGTGCGGCAAGTTAGGAGAAAATTCAATGTTGCGATAAATGATGTTGTTCGCGAGGACGTGGAAAAATTGCTTGAGAATGGCTCCATCAGAGAGTCAAAATATCTCCAATGGGTTGCCAACGTGGTTATGGTAAAAAAGAAGAACAGAAAATGGCGGATATGCGTAGACTTCACATATCTGAACAAAGCCTGCCCAAAAGACTCATTCCCACTGCCCCATATTGACCAACTCATCGACGCAACAGCCGGGCACGAGCTCCCTATATTCCCACGTTTGTTTGTCTTACATCATTTCAAAGAGAAGAATCATCCACCCCATTCAATATTTTGGTGAATCATTCTCTCTATTTATATTTATTGTCATTTAATATATTTATTGCTTATCATTGTTCCCCACACACTTATAGCAGTACCATTTAATACCAAGTGCATTAAATTGGTTTAAATAGGATTCTACCTTATTTGTATAAACCGATTTCAGATTTAGGATTTATTATGCTTAATTAGGATTTACTCATTATCTTCTTATTTAATTGGTTTAACAAAAAGGCTTACACTTTTTGGTCAAACAATACTTTGCAGAAACAAGCTACATTGATTTTTGAGTTCCCATAATATATGCAGGCATTTATTTTTAAAATTATTCAGAATAAAGTTTACGTTTTTAAGACCTTTTTTAGTTTTAAATATACCGTAATAAAAATAACTCTTTATATCTGTCAAAAGAAGTACGTACTCAAATTATATATCTGCTCCTTAGGATAAGAACAATGTAAGACTATGATGGCTTTCCGGAATACAGTTTCTACTCTGTCAGTTGTTCAAGTCATCGTCACCACAAAGTTTATATGTAAGATACAAGATCTGTGTGAATAGATCACTGCAACAATTCAGTGATGTTGAATGGACCTTGAAATGATTTGACAATTCAAATAAGAAATTATGGAAGACATTAAAATACCATCATTTTCTTTTTTGCTATATCGCATGGGTTAGCCCGTTTTTTCTTGGTAATTGAAAAATAGTTAGTACTATTCAAAAATAACTACTATTTTATGTGGAGATAAAATTCGGACAAAAATATCCTAGTTGAAACACGAAAAGTTTCAGCAGAATATATTGGATTATGGAGCTCTTGCGTATAAAATTCCAGCACGTTATGAAATTCCAGCACATTATGCTAGAATCTCATATGTAAAATATTCGAATCCAACATATTTGTTATGATCGAAATAATCGGGTGTCATGCGGAAACTAGCAAAACAAACCTTGAACTACGATAAATCAGACAAAAAAAGAGAAACATACCCAAAAAAACACAAACATTTAACGTGGTTAGGTCAATTGGCTTACGTCCACGGCGGAGATGACCAATCCACTATATAAAAGAGAGTATAAAATATCGAGAGAACAACCTCACAAATAGGCAAACACATATGGCACACTAGCACTTGTCTC